GTAATCCAGTCTAGACCTGATAAATGCATGAATCAGTTTTTCTGCATCATTTTTGGACAAAATGTTTCGAATTTTAGTGAAATTACATTCTCACAAACAACATTTTTTGTTGACTCTTTTTTCTCCAGGTTTTAATAAAACTGGATTCTGTAAAGACAGGTGTGGAATCTGTGAGACCCCACCCACCTGACCTCTGTTTCTGTTCCAAGTTCAAAAATCAAACGCTCCTCTCAAACATCAGATGGATTTTAATCCACATTTACAGTAAAATCATTTCATCAACAACCACAATAACAACGAAGAGTTTAGGGAAAAGGAGGAAAAGGAGTAGTTTAATCCTGAGTATTTTCCTTCACACACACATACTACTCTAAGGTTCCTACGGTTACTGTGGTTACTATGGTTAACTAGTACTATGAGCTTATCTCGCTGGACCAGACAGAACCCGTTCAGTTCAGAATTCAACAGCTGGACAGAGCCAAGTGTAAACATGCACAAAACAATAAAAAGTTCAGATAAAAGCATCTTAAAAGATAAAGTAAAAAAAATCAACAACTTTATCTTTCTGGACTCAGTGATCTGAATCCTCAAATTATTCAGAGAGAATATGCTTCATCTGCTGGCCCTGTTACCATGGTTACTTTTTTATTTTACCTCTGTACCTTGATTTGATTTATTGGAAAAATGAAATGACTAAAACTAAACCTGAGAGAAAAAGTGCTGAGATCCACCTCCAAATGATGGCTGCTTCACATACAAACAACCCGCCTCCAAACAATATATGCTCCACCTTCAAATAATAAATATATGCTCCACCTTCAAATAATAAATATATGCTCTGCCTTCAAATAATAAATATATGCTCCGCCTCCAAATAATAAATATATGCTCTGCCTTCAAATAATAAATATATGCTCCGCCTCCAAACAATAAAGATATGCTCCGCCTCCAAATAATAAATATATGCTTCTCCTCCCAACAATAAATATAAGCCCCACCTCCAAATAATAAATACTCTGATAGTTGATGAATGAATGATGGACACCATGTTTTACTTAATACGTGTGTCACATGATTATAGACTGATGCTCCGCCTCCAAACATTGATGCTCCGCCTCCATTCGATGGTAGCCCAGCCTCCAGGCGATCAGTTTTTGTCAGAACTGTTTTTGATGATAATTTTTTTCTCATATTTGTTTCTCGGTCTTGAAGGGAAGATTTAACACCTGATTCTATGAAAACTGATTTTAGAGATGAGTTTGAAAAAAAATTTTTTTTGATTGTTTTGAGGCTCCCTGAATTTAAAAACCAKTCTCAGTGCAAGTAGGATTCCCACGTTATGTAAACAAAGGGATGACCACCAACTACCCACAATCCATCTCTGCTCGACGCCACGCTCCGGTCAGTCTGAGCAACATTGTCATGCTCTGTAAAACGGTTGGTTTTTGCTGTTTGTGGGTTTGAAATTTCTTCTCAGCAGCAGAAAGTTTTGTTGTTTTAAATAGTTTGCAGCAGAACAGAACCACCACAGTGGGGTCACAGAACCAAACAGGAGTGCCCCCTGCTGGCAGAACAGAGCAGAGCAGATGAGTCGATGAAAACACAAACTCCAGCTGCCTGATGACCTTTGATCTCTATGGAAGCAGCATCCAGAGATCCGTTTGAGTGTGAAAATAAGCAGTTCCAATAAAAGTCCCGACCGACAGATCTGTGTCCTGCTCTGTGATTGGCTGCTCTGATCTGGTCCGGGTGAAGCACACTGATTGGCTGACCCCATGGGAAGCTGTGACTGAGATGATCCAGACTGTCAGAGGTTGGAGGACTGTTTGATGCTGTGGAAGGATACTCTGCTGGGCGATGTGGGCAGTGATGTGGCACGAATGGTACGGCTGCGGATGGAGTGACGGTCGTGCCAGCGACTCCAGCGCTTCCTGACCGCAGAGCGCACCTGCACACAGACGGACAGGTGTGGAAGGTAAGCACACAAAATTGATGGGGGCCCGAGTACACAACCCAGAGGAATGCCACACAACAATGACTTCTGAAAACCAAAAAATGTTTTGCGTAAAGAGGTGCAGAATTACCTCGCTGTTAAGAAAACAATAGAAGACGGAGACAAAGAAACCCTGCAGAGACACAGAGGTCATGTCAAGGTAAACAGGAGATTAAAATAGTTATTTAATGCTGCTAACGCTAATGCTGCTAACACTAAGGTATTTAATGCTGCTATGCTAACAGTTATTTAATGCTGCTAACACTAAGTTATTTAATGCTGCTATGCTAACAGTTATTTAATGCTAATAACACTAAGTTATTTAATGCTGCTATGCTAAC